CTCTGAGCAACTATTCCACCGCGGAGGTATTGCACAGTATCAGACAAAAATGAAGGCGCACTAAATTGTGGGAATTGACTGATATGGTTTACCATCATGTGGAGTCCTGCGGCCGTACGATATGCATCTCTTGTTTGATCGACTTTCGCGAAGCTTGGTACAAAGTGACATTTTTTGGTACCGACACGCAATAGACTTTAGCTTTCGAGCCGCAGCCCTGAGAATTTGCCTGGCTGTTTCCTGATTTACATGGGAGTTTTCTAATTCCCTGACCAGGTTTTTTAGGTTCTTTTAGGTTTTCCTGACCCTTGCAACCCTGGCTGAACGGAGTTTTCTTAGTAAGACGCACAAAATTGTTGTGGGATTAATTAAAGACGTTTCGTCATGTTGTTTAAATAAAATTCACGCGGTCTTGGAAGTGATTAAAATCAAACTTTCCGTAACTTTGACTGGCATCTGCTGGGCGCTTTTTTAATTTCAGAGCCCCAAAGTTGCACCCACGCGACCCGAGTACGATGGTTTAAGCAAGAGTGGCTTCGGCGGGCTGTGGGACTGCAGTCCGCACAAGCCCGCAACTTTGGGGCTCTGAAGTTGCAAACGCGCCAAGCAGATGCCAGTTAAAGTTACGGAAAGCTTGATTTTAATCACTTCCAAGACCGTGGATGTAGCTAGACAAAGCGACAGACAAAGAAGACAAGGAGAAAATGAAGCGATCAAATTGGTGAAAGCAGGTGGTTAAAATGGACAAAAACGGTAAGTAATAGACTAATAATTGGCAACCTCCAGAGGCCCGAAGTTCGTCCATCATTATTCAGTCTACAAGAACTAAAAAGATAATTTCATCATCGATCAGTCTTCTTCGTCGATCACTTTGTCTATCACTTTCAATAATCAGCCTGCAGAGTCACGATTTCGGCTCGAAAAGACGGAAACGGCACAAACTGGCCCACTTCACTGCCGTGCTACAGAAAAACGCCTTATGAACATTCCAGAGTTGCCAAATTTCCTCTAGTAAAACGCTCATTGTAAATGAGGAATATTTCTGTTTACTCTTTCAGAAATTTTTACACCTAATTGCAGATAAAATTCTCCGAAAAATTGAAGGACAAATATTCACAGATTTCCCTGAAAATTCGTATTGTATCTAAGGAAATTTGGCAACGTCTAAGGGTTCATACGGCGTTCTTCCTTGTCACCGAGATCCTCGCCGGGGGCTGCTGCGAGCGGAAGAAATGGCCGCTTGCGCCGCCGGTTGCGGCAATCGCGGCGCCGTCTTCCCCAAGTCCAAGTTTCAGCCGATGTCGCGCCGCAACCGCCGCAAGCCGCAAGGTTACCAGTCTAATGTCGTAACGGAGTCATGTGCAACGCGGCCGCTTGTCACGGGCTGTCATGTTCCTGATTGTTATGCGGCCCCGGTCCCAAAAATCACCTGACCCTGTTCCGATTAGCGGATTTCGGAAGAGGGCAAGGCCTGGACGTGCAAACCCGCTCTTGGCGCCGGATTAATCTGTGCCAAATGCTGGTGTTTTGCGCCTTTTTTTTTCATTTGGCCATGCGTGGACGTACGGAAAAAAGTGGTGGTTTTCAGAGCAAAGCAAAGTCTGGGTGTGCAAATGCGATCCTGGCGCCAAATGTTGATATTTTGCACTTGTTTACGCGAGGACATACGGTAAAAAATAAACGAAAGAGGCTTCTTTTAAAGCGAGGCAAAGCTTAACGAGAAAATGCGCTCTTTGGGCCAAATATTGATATTTTGCGGCTTTTGCGCAATTTTAATGGGCTCTTGATTATTTCCAGCAAGGCATCGCGGATACATTAAACCATAAAAAATCTTAGGTTAACCACGCATAATCTCAACCGTGGATAAGATTATCGGATTTCAGGACCGAGCAGAAAATAAGAAAACTCCTACTTCCCCGCCAAAAGAATCAAGAGATCAAGAGATTAATTTGACCAGTTTTCCAAAGAGAAAATAATATGAACAGAGGTCTGCAACATCGTAAATGGAGGTACTCAGTTTCGGAGTTTAGCCATCGTTATGGTTAATAAGAATGGTAAGTACAACTGGACTACATTTTGCGATTTGGAACTATAAATTCTAGCCCGGTTTAGAAACAACGTATGTGCCATTAGTTTTCCTATGCATATAAGTAATTTTTCCAGAAGAGCCAGAAATTATAGTTCCAAATTGCAAAATGCATAGTCTACCTGATTTCGGGCCCAGCATCAGCAGGGGGACTCTTGGAAAGGCACTCAGTTCGTGTGGCAAAATCACACTCTTGCCTAATATCAATACCTACCAGTAAATGCTACCATAGGACTCTCATTACCTAGGTTAAATTGAAGCTGTTTACCATACTTCGTTTTCCCGTGCGGTGGATATTGTGATAACTTTAGAGGGAACTCCAGGTCTGAAAACCGTAATTACGGGTTTCAGATAGGTGCACCGTCTGCGTGCCGGGTGGAGCCCCAGGTACGGAGACCGCTGTAAAGAATCATCACTACGGTCTATAAACCCGGATACGATGTATTTATGTAATCCGTAATTACGGCCCTTAGACCCGGAGGTTTTTTTTGTGACTGTGAGGTATCTAAATAATTTTCGGGGCGACTTGAAATGGAGCCTCCTCAAGTTTTATTCAAACTTCAGATGAATTCCATCGCGTCACTCAGCGCTTAACTATTGGCTGTAGACCTTAGTCTGATGAATTCTCAAAGTACAGAGGTTATTATTAGGTTCATAATTTTTTGCCCAATGATGCTTGATGAGCAATGTGATGAGCAATCCGAAAAATTTCCGTTCACAACTGTTAAACCCCACATCATTAGCCCGTATCAACGATGAGAATGCCGCTCAGGGTGAAATGTGAGAGTCCGCATGAATTTTAGTACCGGAAATGGTACTAAAATAATGGTAAATATTTTACCGGTAAATGGAAAAGATGCGCGCTCTTGGTGCCGGTATTTTTAGGGATGTTTTACAAAAATCTTAGTAAAGAAAACCGCCTAAAAATGTCTAGCCGCGCCGATATTTGGTGGTTTGAGTTCGAAATATTAAAAAAAAACGGTTTCGAGGAAAAAAATAACCAGTATGATTTTATTCTGCTATATTCGAGACTTGGATTTGTTAAATTTAAATACAGCCTTACACCCTCCGGTGCCACAAAAATTTTCTGAGTCGCTCAAAAAATAATCTCCAGGATTAAACGGTAAAAAATGTAAATCCAAATTTTCAGACCCATCCGCACGAAAGTCCATACATACATAAAGTCGCGATTATAGCGCCGCCTCGCGCTCTGCGACGCCCAATCGCCATTGCCCCCTATCCTCCCAGAGATCATCAGGCAATTGGCACCTTCTGATCTCCTCCTCCACCCCTTGTCGCCAACCTTTCACAGGACGTCCACGCCGTCGCCTTCCGGGAGGAACCCAATCGAAGACCTGCTTGGGCAACCGATCATCTGCCATCCTTCGCACATGTCCATACCAGACCAACTGCTTGGACCTGATATCGTGCACAATGTCCTTCTCCACACCCATTATCTCGCGTACTTTCTCATTGCGGATACGCTCTCTTCTCGATATCCCAGCAGACCTTCGCCAAAAGTCCATCTCGGTTGCCCTAAGCATATCTTCAGTTCTTTTCTTGAGTTGCCAGACCTCACTCCCGTAAGTTACGATACTCTTCACGATGACGTTGTAAATTTTCCTTTTGGTCTCCTTGGAGATACTCTGGTCCCAGAGAACCCCATTTAGCATCGCGATAGCTTTCCTGCCTTGCACATTCCGATCTTTAATGGCCCGATCCAAATTTCCGTCCTTAGTTAACCGAACTCCGAGATATTTATACTCTTCACAGTCCAGGATCTTCCGGCCATCCTCCAGTTCAATGCTTTGCTGATCACCACCGATAACCAACTTCTCCGTCTTAACCACATTTACTTCCATTCCCCACTTTCGGTATACTTCCACTAGCTTCCGCGTCATGTAATTCGCATCTTCTTCGTCCTGAGCTATTACCACCTGATCATCAGCAAAGCACAGAGTATAAAGGGTGCCATCTTCACGTAGCGGGACGCCCATTCCCGAACAGCATCTTTTCCATTCCTTTAAAACTTCTTCCAGGTACACTTTAAATAAGGTTGGCGACAAACAACACCCTTGTTTCAGTCCTTTAGTAATTAAAAACCCCAACGATAACTCCCCATGCGATTTAACCCTAGAGAAAGCCCCACCATAAAATTCCTTAATAGCACTAATTAGTCCCCCACTAAAACCCCTTTTGTTCAAGGCTTCCCAAAGTTTCATCAACTTTTCATCAAAGCATTTGTTTTTAAGTGAAGAGACTTTCGTTTGATGAAACGAAAGTCTCTTCACTTAAAAACAAATGCTTTTATGGACTAAGATCCATTTCCTTGTATGCGGGCGACGCTCACAAAAATTGAGCTCCGATAATTAACTTTTAACCAATTACCTGTTCAAATGCTTGGATACAGGCGCGGCCTCTAAAATTTATAGATTTTGTGTCTTTGATTTCGTGCGAGAATTATTACATGAAACAATTTTTTGCACTTACATATAAACATCTGCCGAACGTCACGAGGCGAGAATATTTCCGTTCAGTAGAGAATGTTTAAGCTATTCTGTAATTAATACTGATCATTCAGGCTCCAGCCTATCATAAATAGGGAGCGTTTATAAGCTGAAAATGCTCACATACACAATACGAACGGCGCAATTATTTTCTTTTCAAATTTTCATGTGGTTAGTTATTATAACAATAAGGTTCCGTCTTAATACTTTCTTTTGCCTACCAATAATACTATAAGGCAAATTTCATCAAGAAACCCTGATTTTTTTAATGTTTTATCGTTTCTCCCCTGGAAAAGCATTTATGTGGGTGAGTACTGAAAGGCAACATTACGATACTATTTTTCCAATATTTGTCATGCGTTTGGGACGAAAACTAGGAATAAATAATGGATTTCAATAGTACTCACAGTTGTGGTCTAACGAGGCTCTACATTCGTCAACACTAGGAAGAAAAATAACTTATTTTTTCGGAAATTGAGATGTATATAGGTCAGACTTAACATGACAAACATCTACACCACGTTCGCTCCTTGGATGTGGCAAAAACGCACATAGCACGGAACCGAAATCCCAGCTTTGACACTGAACCTTTTTAAATCCAATCCCTCGAGAGCTCCGACTTTCCTGACAAAGCGAAAAACTTCCCCCGACACTAAACTTCAGGAAAGCGTCCCAGGTAATCCAACTGATTGAAAAACTCCGACCGCACACGTGAACTTAGTCAAAGCGGACACAATAATTGAAGGCCTCAAAGAGACGAACACACACTTTTGAAGATTTGAATTCCACCTGAAGATGCACTTCTCACAACGCGAGTAAATAGAGTTGCGTATCCAAAATTAGTTTCAGACTCTTGAAAAGGACCGAACTTCGAGGCGAAAAAACGGCGGGAAAAATAAGGAGAAAAACGCGTGTAAAAAAGGTTTTTAAAAGTATGCAGCTATCGCTGCTAAAGATACGAATCTCGGATTTTGGGAACTTGAACCGTATATTGGTCGAAAAAAATAAAGCGGCGCGAAGAATGAGTTGAGTATCGAGTTGAGAGGTCTCGAGATTGAAGGCGGACGATTGGCGACTAGGGTGCGCTGCCGGCGATGACAATCGTGCGACTGACTGGTCAAAACGGCGCGTCGTGCGGCGGGCGAGCGCGCGACGAAGCCACGCGCACACCGGCGTGGCGCGACGCCGCCCCGCGCCGCGCCGAGCCGGGAGGATCGGGGAGCGGGGAGACTTGCTCACCCGCGGGCGATGCACATGTAGTGAGATACACCCGGGATATCAGCTCATGGCATGGGTCCGCCACGAGCATCCGCAATCCGCATATTCCACTCAGACTCCGAGCTGCCCGGAGAAAAAAATCGGGGAGATGGCCGATTTGATTTTGGCGGCCATTGAAATAACGGAATATGGGGAATTTCACGGGGAATAATCAGGGTGTCGAGTTTTTTTCATTTCGGGAAAGCCTGCTCAAATCCTGATTTTTCCTGATTTTTGACTGCTAAATCTTGATTTCATAATTTCTCCAAATCCTGACTTCATAATTTTTCCAAATCCTGATTTCATAATTTTTCCAAATCCTGATTTCATAATTTTTCCAAATCCTGATTTAATAATTTTGCCAAATCCTGATTTCATAATTTTTCCTCACAATTTTTCCAAATCCTGATTTTTTGCGGAGAAAAATTAAAACTTCTGCGTAAGCGTATGCGAAAGCATAAAAATATCCAATCGGACGGCCAACTTCAAGTGATGGCATCGCCCTGATCACTTATTCGGCCTACTCCCATCATGAACAATTTGACTAAGTATTGAAGTGGACATTCTAACAGGTCAAATTTGCTCTTCCTTTACGGTAGCTCTTTAGCGAACTTTAATTCAGCAAACTTCATACCGGCATTAATTTAGAAAAAACCAATGACACGAAATTCTAAACAGACTTTGATTGCTAAAATCCCCGCTGCATGCTAGCTCAAGTCACTCGGAAGCGTCATAAAATGTCCGTGTGTTGCTTCAAAGCCTGCATGCAACTATTCGAGCTCGGCGATTGTCCGTATTGCATAGCAAAATATTGAAGGCGCGCTGGTTTCAATTGCACTTGCCCGTATGTGAGACGTCACACGTTGGCGCCGCACTGCGCCGCGCCGTGTGAAATTATTGTAGATTTGAAGATACCACTATTCGTGCTCGAAGGTGGTCTGAGTTGCCTGGCAAAATATTGAAGGCGCACTGGTTTCAATTGCGCTTGCCGTAACTGTGTTATTACGCGTTGGCGGCACCGACCTGCGCCTTCTCATATTACTGTAGATTTGAGGATGCCACTATTCGTGCTCGACGATTGTCCTGGTTGCATAGCAAAAGATTGAAGGCGCTTTGGTTTCCTTCATACTGTTCGAGGAGCGACGTAGCCGGCGCGGCGCACAGTGGATCGAGTCAATTAGAGAGGTCGGGCATGAAATTTTTTACTAAATCTGCAAATTTTGATGTTTTAGTCGTTACATTTTAAATTTCAAGGGGTGCAACAGTTAACGAAGAAACCAACGGAACCACTTTAAAACCGTATAAACGGAGTTATAAGCGTTTAAAGTTTCCAAATTTTGTCCAACCTCTCCTATTGACTCGATCCACTATGGCGACCTCGTGAGAGCGGCTCTGTTACGTTCAGTTTTAACTGTGCAACCTCTAATTTTTCATGGAAAAATGACGTCTTTCTTAATGCTTTGAATTTAGTTAGTATCTACTGCATGCACTTCAATAAGTTGAGCTTACTTTGATATATATTATTACTTATGAGCTTGACCGAAAATTTTGAAAAATGAGTCTCATATGGGAAGTTGATGTATACTGATTACCAAAAATTGAAGCTATATGAAAGGCGGACGCGCTGATGTGAATGTGGGCACTGAGAAATATTCAGATTTACGGGAATCGTTTTATACCCTCCTTACTCCTTCCTATCTCGATCTATTACCTTGAGGCTGGTGTGAAACCATCACTTAATTGAAGTTCCAATGTTGATCGGAACAATCACACCGAGCAGGAAAACAACCAGGTTTATTCCGCAGGAAAAGTGATTGGCGACTGTGTACCGGCTTATGAATCACGCGATGCCGTCAAATTACACTGGGATTTCCCCTGGTCATACCCAGGAATCAATCGCCGGAACTGCATAAAGTGTAGGACGAGGCCGTGCGATTTTGCAAACGTGGAAAGTTTGCAGCAAGCTTCTTCCGAGTTTCGCGTCACAAAAAAATGACGCGATTGGGAATTTTACAATCACAGAAAAAAAACCTCGGTGTATTTACTGAGAAAAGGGTCAAATTACCAAGAATTTAGGGTTCTATTTGATTCAAGTTTTTTCTTCGTAAAATTACCATTTATGGCATTGGTAATTTTACCGAGAAATCTCAGTAAAATTATTGAACTTTCTCGGTAATTTTACTGGACGTTGGTAAAAACGCCAATACTTTTTATCGACTGTGGTCAAATTAACGAGATAAAATGGCAAAGCTACCGGGAATTGATTACCAATAAAAGTGTTATTCTTACCTGAAAAAAACAGTAAAAATACTGGTTTTTAGGTAAGCTTACCAGTCTGTCTTGGTAAAATTACCAATAATTGGTAAAAAAGTGAGATGGTAAAGGTACCAACGGACCTTGGTAAAAACGCCGATAATTTTTTTTCAGTGATTTCTTCGGCAGGAATCATTCTCTTCAACTACACGATAAACAAACTGTTTGCAAAAATATTAAAAAATATCGCATCTCAGGTTGTGCGTTCCGCATTACTCTTATGATCTCATATTATAGAGAAAAATTTAACACCTCAGAGATTATTGCAAGCAGTTGTCCCTAGAGTCCCTTTACAGAGGGAGCTAAGACAACTTGGCTCATGGATGTCACAAACGGGAATAAAGAGTACACAAATCGAAAGTTTTTTGTAATCTTTGATCAACTCATCTCCGACTTCCTGTATCCGTTCCTTCTTCCGTTTGTTCCTTGTCGTGCCCCCAGCAATCCCCCCCCCCCCAATTTATTGCCTTTGCAATTGGTGAAAATGTAATCTTTATACCCGTATGTGCTACTGTGGAGGCCTAAAATACGGGAACAAATCAGAAATGGATTCGTATTGCCTTTACTCTCAGTAAAAAGGGACTCTGGTTTGCCCCCATTTGCATACCGATTTGTCCGTAGAATGCTTATGCGTAAATTCATAACACGGGTCGTGGTTGATGGATAACACCACTTTATAACCTTTACCTGGATTTGCAGTACACCCGAGACCCATTTCAATCTGGACCAACAGACCTTTTGGAGCACCCTGTGGACCTATGATTTATTCCCGCGTGCTTGGTGTATCAGGTGTGAATGAGCTTATTTGAACAGAAAATCGGACGGATCTTAAGAATCGATTACCTGTTGCCACATAAAGTGGATTCTCCTGGAGACGTATCACTATCTATCACCGAATTAGTATCGAAATTCGATATTGAGTTTTGATAGATCGAAGTGTTGCTTAAGTATGGTGTTGGTCGCTTTCTTGACATGACAGGTGATGTTAGTGTTTATTCTCTCAGAGGGAACTATTTACAAGATCAAACATTGTGTGTGTAAACATACCTCAATACTCTTCCAGCGTTGCTATATCGTACACACATAATCAGTAGATCACCGTGGTGAAATTCCTATGAAACCAACATGTACCAACCAAAAATGCGTATTGCTGGTACCTACCTGTTAAATGCACCACCATTCTTTCTCTCTGTTTCTTCTGTTTCTTTTTTTCTTTTTTCTCTTTTTGTTTCTTTTTTTTCGACTTTTTCTTTTTTCTCATTTTGTTTCTTTTTTTTCGACTTTTTCTTTTTTCTCATTTTGTTTCTTTTTTTTTTCTTTGTGGAAAAGTCGTGTTAAAATTATTGCGTGGGTCATTTTTAAATGTGCTTAGCGTCTTTGTAATCTCGAATAAATTTTCAAGGGCCCTCTATACACGAGGAGGTGAAAGGTTCCTTTTAAAGGTAGTGCTTACTTCTGGAATACACACTCTCTAATTTCCATAGTATTTCGAGTTCTGGAGAAAACTTTTATTCGATCGAAACAGTGTTATATGTTGTTGTGGCTGTGCACTGAACAATTATTTGGATTACATTTTGCAATAAAGAACCACTGTCTCTGGCTCTTCTGTAAAAGGCACCTTTCTGCATAGAGAAACCAATAGCATATGTGTTGTTTCTAAAATGAGCCAGAAATAGTGGTTCCTTATTGCAAAATGTAATCTATTTGTACCCAATATTTTTTCACTGGGGTTTAAACCTGCTGTCCATATATTACGTCATTAATTGTGAACTCCGATACATTTGCACATCCCCTGAGAAAGGGGAAAAAAATGTGTGACCGATGATACATATGTTGTTGATGTAGTTTGAGCTCCATTTGCGGTCACTAATTTTGCATAAATGAAGAGTGTACGTTTGAGCATATCAACACAATATGTTTTAGGTGCCTTTAAAAAATGAGAGCATGGGTTTACATTTGCTTCGCTAAAAGCCTTTTGGAATAAGTTAAAACTACGGTTTTTTGTAAGATTACTTTATTTTTTTTTCAAATTGCAACCTGCAAAACCCAGTAACAGGATAATGATGACTACGTAATAATGGTGAATAAATGTCGGTGACAAGATAATGGACAACGGCCGATTACGCATTTGAATCTGTTTCCAGCGGAGGTTCACGGTGTTCGATGGGTTTTTCTCGAAGATTCCTCCGCTCAAAATGCGCGTGGGGTTACGTAAAACGACTCATCGAACAAAGTTAATTGTACCATAAGAATTCATTAGCACTCAATTCAATTTGAGTGGCGGATCCAACCCTATGGGATCGTTCGAGAAACGATTCGTTTTAACGAGCCTGATTGTCATTCAGATGCCATGGCTTCTTACGGCCGGTGACGAGGCGCGAATTATCGATTATCGATATTTTTCCATTTGAAGCTACGGTAAAGAATCGATTATTCACGTATTTATTGCGAACAACCTCTTTTCCGATCCTTTTCTATAGGTTTAAATGACAGATTAATCGATTTATCGCGCGTCACGCCATTGCTTACGGTCTCACCGTCATGGA